ACAGATAATACACTCACTAACCAACAGGAATGTTCCACAAATGGTTAGTGGGTGGATACATAACATGCTCTCAAAGCGAGCAGTAAACATAAGTGTAGAAGATGTGAATATAAGAGGTTTGGTTGCAAAGGGATGTCCACAGGGAGGGGTGCTATCACCTCTACTGCCGAGACAGAAATGGTCCTTTTCGCAAGGAAAAGGATGAAAATGGAATTAAAACCTCCAGAACTCATAAACACAAAACTAAACTTTGCAACAGAGATGAAGTACTGTAACCTACCGCACCCAGGTACCTTAATAATTTATTAATTCCATTTATTAAATACAATGTTCCATTTTTTTAAATTCAAAATGCTTCATTTAACGAAAAAAAATCTCCCAGATAATTAAATCTTATTTACGACACCTAATAAATAATATCTATAACCACGTCCGTAAAAGATGCACGTGGCTAAGTTCCTCGAGAAAGAAAACACCATAAAGTGTATTTCTGTTTACGAAGTAATTATCATTAAAACACTTAAGTCGCTTATTTTCCTAGTTTCGATGTTCAGACCGATATCGACAATATTTCGATACACAAAACTTTCAAGGCAAGTAATAAATAACCCACCCCCTTTTGCACCTACATTCGTATTTTCTATGAGAAACAAAACGATAGAGACGTCACAGAAACGATTAAACTGTGTATAAAAAGTCTGACGAAAATGAGCTCGGAGTCATTCAATTTTTATCATTTGATGTGCAAGCATACATTTTATTATCTGTACCCAGTTATATAATCTGTACCTTTCCTAAACGCTCCTCCTAAACGACGTCTATCCTACAATACCTCCTATCCCCGACGGTGTCAACGTCTCGACGCTCAACTTCCTGCCATCCTACTCCCTACGTCTCGAACGCTGTCACATTCCTCACCATCTAAGTATTTCCTACCGTACACTCATTTCGACGCTCAACGTCCCACGCCTTATTTCCGACGCTTTGCCGTCCATAATTATTTCCTTCATAATATCACGTCCCGCACCACCTACTTAATTCTACCGTATATCTGTCCCAATACAGTACCGTATTAAATACCTTCCCTTCCATCACGACGCTAGACGTCTCGACGATGGACGCCTCGACGCCCAACCCTGCGACGTACCTACATCGACGCCTTCCACGACGCTAGATGAAATTAGTACATAATTTAATGTCTGTATTTTCAATGGTGAGTCAAAAGATTTATTTAACCTTCTTTGAGATACCACCCCGGTTTCGTTTAAGGGCGGCCTGACATTTGCTGTAAAATATTATCAATTTAACCAATAAACCACATGGCCTTCAGGTCATACACCCCGAAAGATAGGATAACATCTGTTTTGGATGGGTGAAATTTGGAGTATTTTAATAGAAATAATAAAAATCAATATTAAGAAATATACAGGGTTATATTAGGTTATTTCAATAGAAATTATAATAATCAATATTAAAATACATACAGGGTTGTAATAAGTCATATCAATAGAAATTATAAAGATTAATATTTTGGAAATATACAGGGTTGTGCTATCTTGGATATTGTACAAACCAAGATGGTAAAATTTAATAGTAAGTTAACCAACTGGCGAATACGCTGTTCGTTAGCTCAAGGGGGGACACCTATACGCTAAGCAACCCGTTCTACAAGGTTTGAAACTAAGTATATGTGAAATCAACAAAGTAAGGTAATCAACTGGCGAATTGGCGCTGTTTGTTACTTCAGTTGGTCATCACCTCTATACTCATCGTAATATTTACCTAAGAGGGTGCAACCTGTATATGTCTAGAATAGGATCAATATAAACAACAACATAACAGTTAATCAACTGGCGAATTGGCGCTGTTCATTAATTCCGTTGGTCATCAACCTAAATCAGAATATAAACAACAACACTATAGTTAATCAACTGGCGAATTGACGCTGTTTGTTAACTCTGTTGGTCATCAACCTAAATAGGATATATATTGATAACAAATGAATAAGGTCTGCATTTCAACGATACTCAGGTGATACCTCAGTAAATAGTACCCATTTGTAATATACTTTGCAAGTTATTGAATAACATTTAAAGAATAAAAAAATAAAAAGGTTTAAATATAAATTTGTATGGTTTTATTTATCAATTTGCACCAAACTTTGCATCGAATTCTGGTTTACCTTAATTAACATTATCACAACGTGGGTACATAAAATATCAATTAATTAACTAGACGATCACTTTTACTACTAGAGGAAAAAAGGCCAATTACAGTAAGTATAGAATTTAAAGTAAAGTAAAACTTGTGAGGTAATTAATAACATTTCAAAGAGAGTAAAGTAAAATACAAGAAGAACAAATCAAAAGAAGAGGGGGCCTGGGGGCGGGCCGTCACAGTACCTAGGTCTCACCTTTGACAGCAAGTTAACATGGAACTCGCATTTAGAAAACAGAGTTAAAAAAGCATACATTGCTTATGAACAATGCCGCCGAACCGCGGGGAGCACCTGTGGTTTCTCCCCCAGAGTCGTCACATGGACTTACACGGCTTCATAAGACCTATGCTAACATACGGTGCAGTTGTCTGGGTACCGAAAACCCAAAAATTTGCAGCTATCCGTACACTAGAACAAATTCAAAGAACGACATGTCTCAACATAACAGGAGCCATGAAAACAACACCGACCAGAGCCATGGAAGTCATTCTTAGTCTTACTCCCCTTGATATTTACATCAAGGAGGTTGCTCTGACGACAATGACACGCCTTCGCAGGGATGGAATAGAACCTGATGTAGGATCTGGTGAGGCGAGACGTCGCTTTTGGCAGGAGGCGCTCGATACGCTCCCACTGCTTCAAGCGAACATGGACTCCATCTCACCGACATATATCTTCCATAAGCCATATAATGTTATAATAAAACAAATAGAAGAGCCGGAAGTGGCAGGCACGATTCATATCTACATCGACGGTTCTAAAACAAAACAAGGCTCAGGATGTGGAATATACTCCAGATTCTTAAACCTGAACATAAAATGGGCTATGAGCAATAGTGACAGTGTAGTTCAAACAGAGCTAACGGGGATTCTCATAGCAGCAAAAGAAATAACCAGAAACAATATCACTAGAAGGAACATGCTCATCTATACAGAGAGCAGATAAGCACTACTTACCCTAAACAGACCACAAATTTACTCAGGGTTAGTACTAGAATGTCACGAAGCTTTGGCCAAAGTATCCATCAGCAAAGTGGTCACCTTAAGATGGATCAAAGGTCACGCCACATCGAAAAGTAACCATCTTGCTGATTCACTAGCCAAGAAAGCAGCCAATCAAATACTTTTTGGACCTGGCCCTTCTATTGGCCTGACAAAATCGGTAGTGACAGACCTAATCAAAGAACATTCCCTTGAGAAATTCAAGGAAAGATGGGATGAAACAAGAAACTGCAGAGTTGCCAGGGAGCTCTGGGAGTTATCCTGACAACACTACAGCAAACAAATACTATGACTAGACAGAATCTGCACCTCACAGACATTCTGACTGGTCATTGCAAAGTACAAAAGCATCTCCACATCATGGGGCTGTCAGAATCCGCACTCTGCAGAGGGTGCGAACAAGAAGATGAGATTATCGAGCATATCCTTTACGATTGCTCGACGCTCTCATTTATTAGAAGATTTGTGTTCGGCGAGTATCGGATAACACCAGCCGATATAAGAGAAGCACCTCTTGGCGGCGTTGTCAACAACATTAAATCTGTAGGCTGGCTCACGAGCTAGGAGGTGCCTATCATCTCAGGAGGATGCACAATGGGCCGAATGAGGCCTAAGTGCCGTGGGAGTAACCCACCCTTCACACGTTACAGATAGATATAAATTCTTTTTGTTTTTAGAAATGAAATTAAGCATATTATAATATAAAAATGGCATATTTAGGAGCTGAAAACTGGAGATGTGAAGTTAAAGAAGAGCTTATTGTCTCGGTTGACACTATTCCCTACAAACAACTTTTAAAGGTAACATTTGGGAAGGCGAGACTGAGTAAGACAAGCGACAGGCAGCAAATATTGCCGTGCTAGAAGTGCTGTCGTCGGTCGCGTCTTCGCAAATGTGTTTCAAATAATTACACGTCTTCAGACGTGAAGAGATCGTTTTCGGTCTCATTCGCTACAAAGAATATACTAATGTAAATTATTCTTAAATGTTACATTATATAAATATTGTAGAACTTGCCTTGTTTATCTCTTTATTTAATAAATGACAATAAATTATATATTCTATGTAATAAAATAAAGGAAATAAAAAAATAATGAGAGGAACAACATACCCCCCACATAAACCTACTTTTTTCTGAATATTTAAATTTAAAAACACAGCCTTCACAGTAAACTATGCCAAAACTATGTTGACAAACTTTTTGTGAAAAGGAAGTAAAAAAGTGTGTTAAACTTTTCATAAGAAAGTAGAACTATAATAGAACTTTTAAATTTATACCTTATTTGGTGTTAGTTACGTATGTGTGTTTTCCATCAAAATGAAGTCTCCTATTGGTGATAAAATATTCTACTTACATTATTTTATATTGTTGAAAAAGGAAGGTACAAATATTTCAATTTGTAATTCCTTAATTACCAATATGCTTAAGTAATATTGCAAAATTATTAAAAGGATTAATAAATACACATTTTTAGTTCCTCGTAAATAAAATTAATTCCTCAAATTACGATTTACATACAAAATTTTAAAAACTTACACATTTAAACTGATTCAGTAGTGTCACTTACACATTGACAATTAAATATACTCCCTTTATGTGTTTAATGGTCAAAAGGGTACAGCATAAATCTCTGGTAGAATTTTTAAAACTATGCTACGGGTAGGAACATATTTTACTTTTATTCATTATGTAATGAAAGTTGAAAAACCAATAATAAATTAAATACACCATGGTTACAGTCAAGAAAATAAAAAAAAAATAAAATATAAATTAAACTTACTCTGCGTCGAACGGCTGGAACTACTGTAATTTCGTTCAGATTCTCTATCTCTGTCTCTACTTCTGAAACGATCACGTTCCCGCTCTCTCTCTATCCATTCTCTGGGTTTTTCCCATTGGGATACTTCGGTTTTACAATTGTAATAATACTTCTTCCCAGAAGAACTCACGTGCTCTGACCAATCGCCTACCCTATTGACTCTATCTCTATCATCCCGCTAAAATCAACGAAATAATTTTTGTAATTTTTTCAGGCTTTAAGACATATTTTACAAATTTGACAGTCACAATTTTCTCATCGCTGGTTATAATTCTTTATTATCCAATCGAGAATCTCCAGTTACAAGACAATATAATTAGAAATACATAAATGAATGAAAGTAGCATAGTAGCATATCAAAAAAGTACAACTAAGCAAAATTATTTTGTTAATTTTTATATTTAGGTGACAAAAATATATACGTAAAAGAAGAAGAAAACATTATTCAAAATGCATTAGAGCAACAACTAGAATATAAAAAAATGCTATACAAATAAGAAAGTTTACTGGATTTATCTAAAATTAGTGTTAATGAATCATAAGTTTGCTACATAAAGTTCTACAATCTGAGAAGTGGAGAATTAGAAAGAATATTAGTTTTTGCATTGTCTAAATAATTCAGAAATTCATCTAGAGTGAATTATAGGAACATGACAATCAACTCAATGAAGATTTGGACAATCAATAGAATTATATGCTAAATTATAGAGAAACGTCGGCCCTGCATGTATTCTTCTTAATTGTAGGAAATGGACATTGAAATTATGTACCAAAACAAGAGTATATTGGTCAATACTCTATATTAGTGTTACATAATTTGTGTTTCACTTACATTTAACAAAAAAAAAAAAAACATTATGTCCCTGAATTTAATATATACGATTTGTTTTTGTTTGCAGATGAAAATAGTTGAAAATACCGAAAATAATAGAAATATAATATTAATGAATATGTATCTATAACCTCTATTTTTATGTCTACGGTCACTGTAATTATCAGTGGAACACAAAATACGTCATTAGTAATAGTGTATCTCATGCAGGATAAATTTCATCAAGCCTACGAGTTAAAAATTTAAGAAATTTGTGTTGATTTTCTTCTAATGAATTTATATGCACTAGATCCAAAACAATTGATGTGTATTCAAGTTTTTGAGCTTTTTGAACCATTTTGTTGGAAAAAGTTATGCAATTTTTTAAATAAATCCTTTAGAATACTGAAAAACTATAATACTGAAAAACTATATTATTGATGTGATCTACAAATTGCAAACCAGAATCAAAAGTAACTCGGAGATCCTACATAACCTTTGTTAAAGTAATTTATCTGATAATTATATAAAATTATTACATGCGACTGAATGTACAAATTTTGCATTTATCCAAATTTAGGAAGTGTACACCAATCAGCAATTTTATTCAATGCTGTTTGAAGAAATAAGCAATGTAATTGAGAAGTCACATTTGAATCAATTTTTAAATCATTAGCAAATCATAAATGAGCACTTTAATGATGAGGAAAGGCCATTAATGAATAATAAAAACAATAAAGGGCCTAAATTAGATCCTTGAAGGACACCTGTAGCAGAGCAATAAATTCTACAAAAGGGACCATTGTAAGCATCAAACTGCCTCCTGTTATATGATTGCAGCTTCAGCTATGTACTGAGTAATTTCTGTAAAATTGGAAGTGGTGTATTTTTGACACATAAATCCATGCTGATTGGTTGGAACAAAACAGTTTATTTGGACATAAATTTATTATGTTTGTCTCCAAAACCTTTGCAAAATTGTTCGAAATTGATCTTAGATTAATTTTTGATATTCATTTTTTTTACTACTTTTGACAGATACTAGCTACTTTCCACACATCAGGAGATCCAGACTTTTGGACAATTACATTGAAAATTTTAAATATTTGTGTTACAAGTGTGTTAAAATCTTTAAAAGGAAAACTTGGAATTTTTGTCACTTCCCAATGTGAATAATAATAATAATAATAAAAGTGCTTTATTGAAACTTAAAAGATACAAAAGGCCATTGACCGAGGTCCTTCAGCCTGACAATGTGAATTTATTTAGAAGTTTATTAATAATTGGCTTTTTGGTACCCATTTTATGATGTACACTTCCAGTCATATAAAACTGGTACACTTATTTTTCCCAATGTAAAACCAAATTTACTTTTGAAAATGACAAACAGTAAGATTTGTTAAGTTTGTCAAAGCGCATTGGTAAGATGTTAGGTAATTTGAGTAAGTTTGATGAAATGTGAAAACCACGATTAACAGCTTTGCAAAAATGGGACAACAATCAAATTGTAAAAAGAAAAAGAGGGACTGGGAGACCAGTTACAACTATAGCACAACAAGAAGAAACATTAACTAATTATTTATGGCAAGATAGGCAAAAGTTGAAACAAACTTTAATTCTACAGTAACAAAAGCATAAAGGATAATTAGTCAAACTGATTTAAAGAATTGTGCAGCCGAGCCGCCCCGAAAATACAAACTTAGCAAAGTAAACACGCTAATTAGAGTTATCTTCACCTTAAATTTTATTATGTTTTAAATGAATCAGTAAAGCTTGTCAGAAGATACGGTCACTGTAATTATCAGTGGAACACAAAATACGTCATTAGTAATAGTGTATCTCATGCAGGATAAATTTCATCAAGCCTACGAGTTAAAAATTTAAGAAATTTGTGTTGATTTTCTTCTAATGAATTTATATGCACTAGATCCAAAACAATTGATGTGTATTCAAGTTTTTGAGCTTTTTGAACCATTTTGTTGGAAAAAGTTATGCAATTTTTTAAATAAATCCTTTAGAATACTGAAAAACTATAATACTGAAAAACTATATTATTGATGTGATCTACAAATTGCAAACCAGAATCAAAAGTAACTCGGAGATCCTACATAACCTTTGTTAAAGTAATTTATCTGATAATTATATAAAATTATTACATGCGACTGAATGTACAAATTTTGCATTTATCCAAATTTAGGAAGTGTACACCTATCAGCAATTTTATTCAATGCTGTTTGAAGATATAAGCAATGTAATTGAGAAGTCACATTTGAATCAATTTTTAAATCATTAGCAAATCATAAATGAGCACTTTAATGATGAGGAAAGGCCATTAATGAATAATAAAAACAATAAAGGGCCTAAATTAGATCCTTGAAGGACACCTGTAGCAGAGCAATAAATTCTACAAAAGGGACCATTGTAAGCATCAAACTGCCTCCTGTTATATGATTGCAGCTTCAGCTATGTACTGAGTAATTTCTGTAAAATTGGAAGTGGTGTATTTTTGACACATAAATCCATGCTGATTGGTTGGAACAAAACAGTTTATTTGGACATAAATTTATTATGTTTGTCTCCAAAACCTTTGCAAAATTGTTCGAAATTGATCTTAGATTAATTTTTGATATTCATTTTTTTTACTACTTTTGACAGATACTAGCTACTTTCCACACATCAGGAGATCCAGACTTTTGGACAATTACATTGAAAATTTTAAATATTTGTGTTACAAGTGTGTTAAAATCTTTAAAAGGAAAACTTGGAATTTTTGTCACTTCCCAATGTGAATAATAATAATAATAATAAAAGTGCTTTATTGAAACTTAAAAAATACAAAAGGCCATTGACCGAGGTCCTTCAGCCTGACAATGTGAATTTATTTAGAAGTTTATTAATAATTGGCTTTTTGGTACCCATTTTATGATGTACACTTCCAGTCATATAAAACTGGTACACTTATTTTTCCCAATGTAAAACCAAATTTACTTTTGAAAATGACAAACAGTAAGATTTGTTAAGTTTGTCAAAGCGCATTGGTAAGATGTTAGGTAATTTGAGTAAGTTTGATGAAATGTGAAAACCACGATTAACAGCTTTGCAAAAATGGGACAACAATCAAATTGTAAAAAGAAAAAGAGGGACTGGGAGACCAGTTACAACTATAGCACAACAAGAAGAAACATTAACTAATTATTTATGGCAAGATAGGCAAAAGTTGAAACAAACTTTAATTCTACAGTAACAAAAGCATAAAGGATAATTAGTCAAACTGATTTAAAGAATTGTGCAGCCGAGCCGCCCCGAAAATACAAACTTAGCAAAGTAAACACGCTAATTAGAGTTATCTTCACCTTAAATTTTATTATGTTTTAAATGAATCAGTAAAGCTTGTCAGAAGATGAAAAGTTAACAATAAATTTATTTATCTCAGTGCTTAGAAGATTACAAGAAATTATTAATAATAATATAAGTTAGCCGTGTTCCTCTGCTCCGCACCACACGTTCTTGAAGTCCATACACATGCGTGTCAGGATGGACGAGCGGGAGAAGGCAGACCAGCGCAGTGGGCAGTACGCAAATAGACAGTGGCAATACCACAGCAACATTGTAATTGAGAATACTTGATCGTGAATTAAACCATTGAAAAAGCAGTTTAGATCTTTTTATTAGGGATGATACATCCCTTATGTTTGCATATATATATTAATTATCTTTTTCATCTGTTTCGAATTGTCAAATGAATTTAAATTTCAAACTTATTCATTTTAGATTGCAATAAATTATTAATTTTTCCACTGTGTTTTATTGCTTTACCAAATTTATTTGTATCATTGCATCTACTAATATTTTTGTTGTGCTGGCAACATTGTTCTAGAAATTATAACCTAAAAAGCAGTTGACACAATTTAAAAGATCAATTTACACAGCTTAAAAGCACTATTTTTTGTTACAAGAGTTGTACCACTTTTATATGAGGTGAAGTGTACATATTAAGTCTGCGAACTTAACACATTATGTATTGAATAAAGAGACATTACATAAGAATCACAGTCTGTTGAACAAAGATAGGTGTCTTGATACAAGAGGTATCAAAAGATGAGTGTACATATTAAGTCTGCAAACTTAACACATTATGTATTAAATAAAGAGACATTACATAAGAATCACAGTCTGTTGAACAAAGATAGGTGTCTTATTACAAGAGGTATCAAAAGATGAGAATCCCACTGCTGTTCTGTCTGTTCATAATTTCTGAGATTGTACATTAAAATTTATTATTTCTGCATAAAATGATTTCTGAATTTGTTTCAAAATTTTAGAATCCATTCAATTTAGAGTACCAGTAAGATATACTCCTCAAAATGATTTATTCTTCTTTCCATTGCCAATAGCCAAAATATCATGTCCAACAAGACCAGAAGATTGTAGGCCTATAAATTTATTACCATCTGCAGATAAGATCATTGAAATTGTAGTAAGAGATCAGCTCAAGTCTTATTTTGAAGACAATAATATTTTGTATGAGGGACAGTCAGGGTTTAGAGACCAACATTCTTGTGAAACAGCTCTCCAATTTGTTTGTGCAAAATTGAGAAATGATATGAATGAAAATAATATTATTGTTAGTGTTTTTATTGACCTTAAAAGGGCTTTTGAAACAATAAATAGTAATTTTATCTTAAAAAAGTTGCAAAATTAGTGTAAATTCAGTAGCATTAAATTTAATTAGGGAGTATTTGTCTAATAGGTATCATAAGACTAAAATAGGAAATAATATATCTAGTGAAACAGAAAGCCACTACTGGATACCGCAAGGAAGTGTGTTGGGCCCACTTTTATTTATTATTTATGTAAATGACATTCATAAACGATTAAAAAGATCATTTATTAGCCTTTTCGCGGACGACACGCTCATTTCAGTATCTGGTAGAGATTTTCAGGAAATAATTCAAATATTAAATGAAGAATTGTCTATTTTGTATGACTGGCTGTGTGTAAATAAGCTTAAATTAAATACAGCAAAAACAAAATATATGATCCTAGGATCAAAAGCACAATGCAGACAACTTAATGCGCATGATCAAGTAGTAGAAATAGGTGGTGAACCAATTGAACAAGTACTGGAAATAAAATATTTAGGAGTCATTATTGACCAACAATTAACTTTTAATAATCAGGCCAATTACTTATGTAAAAAATTAGGTTAAAAAATTGGTTTTTTTAGAAGGATTTCATGTAACTTGACGAAGTGGTCAAAATCTCTGATTTATAATACAATAATACGCCCACATTTTAATTATTGTAATGAATTACTATTATCAGCTACTAAAGAAAACATCAACAGATTGCAACTGTTACAAAATAAATGTTTAAGGATAATATTAAATTGTAATATTTACACTTCGGTCAGGGAAATGCATGAACAGCTGAATGTCTATACAGTTGAGCAAAGCATTAAAATGTCGAATTTAATACTAATATATAAGATGATACATCACAAAACTCCGAAATACCTTAGTACACTACTTGTAAAAAGATCTGAACTTCATTTACGTCCACTCAGATCAATGGACAATTTTAATATTGATTTCACAAAAAAATCTTTTTTGATGGGCTCATTATTGCAGGAAGGGATTCGTCTTTTTAATGCATTGCCTAAAAATATAAAAGATGCCCCACTCTAGGTAGTTTTAAAAATATGATTAGTAATTATCTAGGTTTAGGTAACCTATAGTTTTAAGTTTAAATTGTAAATATTTGTTTATAACTAGCTGAAAGCTAAATAAAGAATTTACTTACTTACTTATTTCACAGAACTAATTATGACTTATTACTTTAGTCCTTTAACAAGAATACAAATATCAAATTCATTGAATTTGGATATTCTGGGTAAATTTCTTCAATAGCTTTAAAAAAGCTGCAAGAAATACTTTCTTTGATATTTTGAATAATTTAGATACTTATACTTAATGATTTTTATTGATTTTTATCATTTTAAAATGTTGCAAGTTGGAAATGAATGTATGTTATCTTTTAAACGATATTTGTAATTTTTTATTGTAATGAGAATTAAAAAAAATTGTTTTCAAAAATGTGGGAAGTGTTACAGCAAATAACTGATTATATAGAAAAATAGGTACCTAAAGAATTTTAGAACACTTACCTTATCTACACAGTTATTATGCATCGGCTTCCTATCTCTAGAAGACACCTGAGACGTCTTTATCGGATGCAAGATGCTTTTTTCATCATTCCTATCTGAACTAATTCTGTGCTCAGAATCTCTAATGCTGCGCTTATCCTTTGGTGACCTGGCACTATCTACAATTTACAAATTCTCTCATAAAAAAAAACATGATTCACACAAACACATTCTCCATACCAGAATACTTGTCCCTTGACATTTTATAGTCTCTATTTTCTCTCTCCTTTTCACGGATTTTCTGTAGGTAGGAGCTTTTAGATTGATAAGATCTATCACGGTCCCTGGGCGACTGAGAATCTGGACTGTCTGATCTGTAATTCCCGTTGGGCGAATCACGTATCCTTTCATATCTGTCACTACTCGATCCATAGCTTTTTGATGAACTGTACTTCGAACTCTAAAAAGGAGATTACATTACCTAAAACAATTTATGCATACCGGTCATGAGCTCAAACATACATTCACAGATACAATAGGCAACCATTAAAAAGATGGTATGAAAATTCATTGGACTTTGGAAAAGTCACCACACAGAACTCATTGAGATATTCAGGATAGCAGTTTTCACTTGGATAGTCTACATTAATTACACTGTCTACAGCATAAATAGTACATTTTAATAAGGATATATTTTAATTTTCACAATACTAATAAAATAATTAATATCTTTATTCACCATTCATGCATGACTGAAGACAACATACATGCAGGAACTCCAACAATATCTCTTTATATGTCTCTTTAATGCGCCCTTCCATGAAATAACATAAGATTCAAACATCAATCTTTTAATATAAATTTTGGATATGAACCTTAACAAATATGTAAGTATTACTCTGAGTGAAATAAGGACCAATGTCAAAAGACTAGTTAATCAAAATGACACAAACTATATCAATTTCAGAAAATTTTTAGTTTATATCATCAAAAGTGGTGCCAAAAATAATTAATGTCTTTAATTCACTTGGTATCAGTCTTTTACAATATAGTGTGATATGGTCTGCTAATGTCACAGCTTGAAAAATCAAAAATATTCTTTGACTTTCAACTTATTTCTACCATCTTTGGTGTAGCAGATTTCTGCTTGTGGAATTAGATTCTCTTGAATACTGTAAAAAATGCAGATATCTTCATTCTTACTTAAAAGGATTTAGTGCTGATATTCTTAAGCTTCTTTGGTTCCAGAAGGGTAATAAATGTGCACTTATATGTTTATCAACTACTTAAATTATTGTAATCCATATTTTTTTATAATAAATAATTAGATGTAAAAACAAATCGTTTTTCCCAAAATATTAAAACAAAAAATACATTATATTATTTTAAAATACCTATCTGATACAAGAGGCAATCAAATATTTTTTTCCAGAATTGTTATAAAGTAAAAACATACCTTACAAACTTATGGAATTTTTACAGTGACTCCCAAATTATAAACTTTGATATAACAATAAATTGAAATAGGAAACCCACAATATCTATAAATTTGTAAAATATTCATTAATAAAATCTATAAAAATGGATCATAAATGTTTGAATTTTCCGCATTTTTCTGAATAATACTAAAACTGGACTTGTGGAAATTAAGAAAAATTTGTGTAATGCCCTTCTAGTTATTAATAATGTGTTTTATAACTTATTATTTTCTAGGACACCCTTTAAGTGATTAATCAAATCAAGATTTGACATCTATCAAATAAAAAAAAAAGAATTATTATTAGTCTGTCAAGAATTAATGAAATCTTTTTGTAACATAACAAACTTACACTCTCATCTTTTCGAATTATTTAAAAAAAAAATGGAATTCAGAGGGAGAGAAATGTAATTTTTCACTGAAGATAATGAGGACTTTTGTTTGCATACAGGACATCAGAGGTTTAAAGTGGAACAAATCAAATTAACGATTTTTCGTAGACATAGCAATTTTTGTATTAACATTTTGTATTTACAGGTTTTCTTCAAAATGTACATAATTGGAAATAGGTTAAGATTTTAATGGCGGCCATCTTATTGTTTTGACATTAGTATCCTTTATAAATACATTTTGAAGGAATAACATTGAATTTCTTTTAGATAAACCAGCAATTACATTATTTTTTTTTAACTCTGGATTATTTTTAAGAGTAATGACCTCATTAGATTGGCATTTATTGTCCAAACATTTTTAGTAATTTCTAGAAAACTGTATTTCGATTTTCTGTTACAATAAAATGAAAATTACGGGATTTTTTTTATATTTTCAAACGTAAATGTAATTTAAATAGAATGAAAATAGCTGTAACATGATAATGAAGCATGTTATGCTTCATTCATTTTAGATCCATGTACTCTTAATACTAATTGTTTACCTGATAAGGATGGGTTTGGTGCTTCTCGAAGTACCTGTATAAGAAAAGAACATATGATTAGTAACAATTTGCAAATGATTGGGTCTATAAAAGTAATATCTTTTGATAGATCGAATCTGTACCCAGAGACCGTAATGCCTACCCATCGTTCATCCGCTGCGTTTTCCTTGCATGCATTACCATCAATGCAAATCTCTAAGAAATGTTTGTGGCTTCTACAATAAGCCGATTCGCCAATCGATGTCATAAAAACAATAATAATGCTAGAATTCGTTTACGAAGAAACTTTTCTATCAGACGCCATGTCACATAAGGGAACAATTCAGAGCATGGAGGAAAGATTATTAAGAGTTGCCGTTTCTTTGTAGAAATTTGGCAACATGTTTGCTTGCAACGACCTGTGGGGTGGAGGAGTAGAACTAATCTTACTCTGTCGGTAATGTAGTTACCAGCAGCATTACCATCAACTCTTACTCTGTCGGTAATGCAGTTACCCGTAATTTTATATTTAATTTGAAAATTGGCGGTTTTTTTTTAAAGGAGAATTTACTTTTGCAATTATTTTCCAACTAATACGAAATATAGCCATACAAAATTTTGATAGTAATTTTTTTAATTTTTTAGTGAAATAAAAAACATGTACGTGTAGCTCAAATATGTTCCTCTGGAGCCACTTTTTCATAATTTAATTAAATTTTGATGGCAATAAATCGCAAAATTTTGTTTTTATAAAGATTTCAAAAATTGACAAAATAATTAAATCAAATTTCAGAATAGTGGCTCCAGAAAAACAGACATTTCACTTTTACCTGAAGGTATATATTTTTCATTCACTAAAAAGTAAAATTAAACTATAGAAATATGTGTGGCTCTATTTCGTATTGTTTAGAAAAAGATAATTGCTTAAGTAAATTTTCCTCTTAATTATAATTAAAATTTTCCTTTTTTATTAGCTGTTTGTAACAATTATGAAATGCCCAATAAAAATGTAAAATTCTATGACAAATAATTATGAGGGATAAAATAAATATCATACAAAGTTTTATATAATTATATTTACTAAAAATTCCCAAGAAAAATAAATAAAAAATATATCAGAGATGGCAATACAAAAAAATATTTTTCATGCACTTCACCCCCATACAAGCGAGCTTATGCGAAGCAAGAATGTCTATTATTATTATTATTTACTATGGCGCTCCCGGACGTCTTATAAATGATTCTTTAAGAAAGTTACTCTAATATCACAAACATTACATTACTATTTCAGTACGTTATCTAACAAAAATCAGAAATTGCATAACAAATAATTAATTTACTTGATATGAAAACTAATGCCTAAGTAAATAAATTTTTAAAATAAACAAAAACAAAACAACAAATTCTTCTTGAATCTTAGGAAATCAGACAAAAGCAACCATCCATATAAACTGAAACAGAAAAAAATTAAATGCAGTAACTTCAAATCATTTTGTTTGTCTTTTAGACATTGCAGCAGCCCTCATACTATCATTATAATACTTTCTTATTATTAATAGTAGGCAAGTTTCAACTAAATGAAAAAAGACGTATGTTTTATGTTCTTTATATGTAAACCAGAGATGGCTTGTGGCCTAGTCTGTGAGGAAGCTGGCTCATCCTATATACTTTATACAAATATATATTTCTATTATGTAATATTTCTGCTTTTTGAATTCTTATAGACATATATTTTTATTAAGTATATAGGGTGTGCCTTTTAAAAGTAGTCTCCTCATAGACTAGGCCACGAGTCGCCTCTGATCTAAACCATTTAAAATCAACATGTTGTCAATATGACCCAAAATTTGTGAAACTATTTCAAGAATTTTTGAAAGAAATGCAATAACATTTCTTTGTACATAAATAAAACGTCTTTTATCATAATTTTCTTTAAAATAAGTAAAAGTATCGATGGTCTTCTAACATGTCTGTAAATTAACTTTACACTCTTTGCAGTCAAAACTATTACGTTTCTTAATAAACCCTGCAACATAACTAGTGGCCTGACTCAAATTCTGCTTCATTTTTTAATTTTATATATATTATTAAAATGAACTTTATCCTCACAGGACTCTATTTGGAGGTGTGATAACAATATTACTAAGTACTACTATCTTTGGTGTATCTGGTTTTGAGGATGCTAAAGCAAGGTAAAGCAAATCTTTTAGCAGTCTTGAACGATTTGTGTTTGTAAACAATTTTGTATCAAAATATGATTTTCTCATAATGTATAATGATTGGGGTTGTAAGTGGAATGTTTAAAATACGACACCATTCCGTTTTTTGATCAATATCAGAAGGAAATTTAAAAATGTTTGTTCTTAAAATTTACGTTTGGAATGGGCCTTATAAAATGTACTATAACCATTAGAAATTATGCGTTTATAATGAATTCTGCCTAGTAAAGACATGTTAAAGCATCAAAATACCTTTACTTGATTTTAAATAATCCTAAATAACTTATATCTAAAAAAATAAAAGTAGTTCCACTCACATGTTTTCGTCGACAACCAAATCATGACATAACCACACATTTGTTTGATTTTGATGTTATTTGTTGACAGCGCGCGCGGGGCCCGCTATAGCGGGCAGCCAGCAGTCATGCAGCGGACAGAAAGCCATCTTCACATAGTACAAATAACTAAGTGAAGGTATGTTTTTTTTAGTTTGTTGTAATATATGAATTAAAATTTTTGAAACAACACTTTTTGTGTGTTACTGAACGAGATGTTATTAAATTAATCAATGTGCTTTACATTTTAATACAATTTTACTATTGTAAAACGGACTTCAGAGCACCCAAGCGCGGAGGAGTATGCGCAGAAACGTGTTTACGTATTGTGCATATGATATAAACCCCCGTGATTCAGAGTAAAGGCAAAATGATCGTGTTATCTCATTGGCCGACGACATTGACGTAAGATAATTTTATACTGCCAACTCTTGTCACAAAAAATTCCTATATCATTAATCCATCATATTTTTTTAATTCGGACTTTTTAAACAAGTTTATTCATTTTTCCAGTACAAAAATGCTTATTTAAAGGATTGTAAATTGATAAACATTTTTATAAATGCCTACATCACAACATTAACGGTGACGTTTTTTTTTCAAATGTTGGCTACATGTTGAAAACAAAACAATTTGTTGTATTGTGCTGACCCCCAGAAACACAAGGCAGAGATAAATGAATTGAACAAGGATGATGCACATCTAAAAAGAAACAAGAATAAGTTATTTTAAAGAACAATGGCTACATATTTTAAAAACACCCAATGTGACACACTTTTATGGTTTGATTGTGAATTTTTTTAATAGAAACTGCTAGCTAGGATTTAAGGTAAATATATTATAAACTATGGTTAAGTTTTTAATGGAAGAATCAGGTTACCAGCACGGACAAAAATATGATACGTATGAGGTCTAGGTCTGATTGCATTATTTATTTTTTTTTTCGAGTGATATTTGCATTACTAAAAGCACCTAGATTTTGTTTTATTTTTGTATTATATCATTTATTTGGTCGCCTATTATAATCATTTTAAAGGCATATATTTGGGTTGATTTATAACCACCCTAATATTGTTTAGAAATTGGATTATTACCTACATGATTTCATAACACAATGCATGAGTTCGTGAAATAATACAGAGAATAAATACAGGCAAAAGTGAATTGAATATAAATTGATATTAAATAGGTATCTGAATCTAGGGCAGTGGCTCTCTATCAGGTACATGGATTTAATTTTCAATTAGAGATGATAAAACTATCCAGATACTTAGATAAGATTTTAAGCTGTTGAAAGTACATCCTGCTACAGATGAATAAATGGATGTTGTAATTAATTTCACAAAGAAGAATTATTTAAAATTACTTACTTTCAAGTAAATATCTATATTTTAGGGATAATAAAATGGACAATATGCAGAAACCAATTGTAAGAGAGGAACAAATGAAAGGTGTAACAAGGATACAAGTAGGCAGAGGTAAGAATTAAAATTTAAAAATAGTACAATAATAGTCCAGTTAGTGGTAATCTTGTAGTTTAGGCAGGTATACTCGGACAAAATATTGAAGAAGGTGATTCCTCCCTGTTCACATACAACAATCATACTATACCAGAGCATAATGAATGGAATCACATGCTTAAAACTGCAGAAGTTATCGGTATCACATACCAACTAGTCGTAAATGCATGTTTATTGCCAAAATGTACTACACCAGTGGCTTATAAAAACTATTGACAAATTAAATGCGGTAATAGTAAATAATATTAGATGAAAGTAGGTTGGTTATCCATTTTTGTAGTAATAATCATTTATGTTTATAATTTTGTTTTGTTTATTGTTAAAATATGTAAATATTATGTCAGTGGCGTAGAAACACTATTGGAAAATTAAATGGGGTATTATACTAGAACAAAATATTGAAGAAGGTGCACCTTAAAACTGCAAAAGGTATCATATCAAAATGCCCTCTTCCAGTGTCGCAGAAATACTATATTGGTAAATTAAATGGGTATTTGTGAATATTACCAGATGAAAGTAGGTTGGTTATCTATTTTTGTTATAATAATTCATCTATGTTTATAATTGTATATTGTTTATTATAAAAATATGTAAATTAAGCTTGGTATCACTTACTTGAATTCTAAATCTATGAAATTTCGTAATCCATTGATTATGCAGAACTATCACTGGAATCGCCTTTATCGTCGGAACTTAAAGTTATGACTAAAGGTTTAACTACCGTTTCGATCATACCGTCCAAGCGCCACATATTATTTTCTTCCTTAATTACATGGGAACTACCATTTTGCCAATCTTCAGGTTTTATACGTTCTATACCGGTTTTTAATAAACTTTGAAAGTCGGCTATTTTAAAAGTTTTATTTTCTTGAGCTACAAACCTTTTCACTTGCGCCCAAATTAGTTCAATAGGATTGAATTTGCAGTGATAAGGGGGAAGTCTTAGTACCGTAATACCACGATCACGAGCCATTGTGTCGACAACATATTGAATATATTTATGGTGGTGTTCCTTTATTAGGTCCATTAATTCCACTTTAAACATCTCCGCAGTAAATGTTATTGCTTTATCCCGCAGCCAGGTTTGCATATCCGCTTTCCTACTGGGCATTATCGGAATGCGTTCAACTCGTCGACTGTGATAAGAAGCGTTATCTAGTACAATAACTGAATTTCGTTCTACACGCTGTAATACTTCAGTAAACCATTTTTCAAAGCATTCCGCATTCATGTCGTGGTAGTCTCCTGTTTTTTTCGATATAAACACAAGAGCGCTATTTTCCAACAATCCACTGTCACTTCCGATATGGGTAACAATTAGGCTCTGTCCTTTACCTGATGGTGCTTTAAAACCTGTGGATATTCCCTCTATAAAAGCTTGGCGATGACTAGTTACAGAAGTATCTTGCCATATCTTAGATACTGTGGGTCCAGCATTCACCCACGTTTCATCGAGATAATATATCTTTTTTTTAGCGGCTCTAAACTCTTTAATATTTCGTAAATAACGCCGTCGCCAGGACACTATATCTGACCTCTCAATTAAAATTGATTTCCTACACGTTTGACAAAACGAAATTTTAGGCCCTATAAAATTTTTCGTAAAGTTTCACGGCTCATTAATGGAATTTCTTCGTTTTCTCTTAATTTCGTAAGAACAACTTAAGTGTTGGTGCTTTGTTTTCGAAAAAAAAAAAAAAAAAGAATGTACAGTTCTTCGAATGATTTGTTTTTGGTTATCGTATTTCAACAATTTTCGACCACGGGTATACGTTTTAAGGGCTTCTAAGGAGCCTTTTTTTTTGTCTTTTCGCGTACAATACATTCAATTGTTGAAACAGATACTCCAGTTAAAAAAGAACTGCGGTTTACAGCTTCATTTGTAGGAAGTGTCTGTTGTTTAAGCCCATCATACACTTTCCATGTAATGTTTTTTTCATCCTTTGATAAGGGCTTTCCCCGACGTAATTGGGTTTAACTTGGACCCGCCTCTGAATCCATTACTATTGTAACAATATAATTCTCCTATTAAATTGTTTTTATTAAATTTATAAAGACACCAATATTTTACTATTTAATAAACTTTTAAAGTACCTATCTAATATATTACATAATAAATATATCTCCTCGAATATTCACTACCACTACCAAATTGTAAGGCACAAACATGAACACGTACTCGTATATCAGAAAAGAGCACTTATACAAAAAAGTCTTTATAAAATATAAAATAATTATCGTAAATAGTTAAAGCGATTCAAATCTAACTTCGTCGAAAGTTAGTTTTCAACTGTCTTTGTGCCTGTGCTGACAATATTCAATCTGTAACCCTTCTGTCGTTTATTTACTTGAAACACATTTTAAAACCATTAAACACAGATAACGAAGTCATTAGGGAATAAATATATTCATTTCTTGAAAACTATCAAAAACGTATATTTAAGGCATCATCTTTGTTTAAATAAAGATGTTGACAAACAAATTTAATAATGTTTACTAACAAATACCTAATAAATAATTATTTGGTATTTGATACGCCGCCTATGCTAACTCTGTCGGAATTTTCATTCATAGACAACAGTGTTGATCATGCATATGACTCACCTTCTCCAATATTTTGTCCGAGTATAGTAATGCAGAATGCTGATGTTCTTCAGATAAACAAATTTTGTTTTTCTGAGGTATGTCTGTACCACTCTGCACTGATGTTTAGAATTTATATTATAAACATTGCCAGATTTCCGCTAATGTTTTACCATTTGTTTTTTATCTATTAATTGTAATGGCAAAAAAATATGTGTTTCACAAAAAAAATACATCACAGTAATCTAAAATTAAAGAATATTTTTATTCATTTCTAAACATTTTTTTTTTTTTTTTTTTCTTAAAATTTATATTTCATAGCATCTTTGATGACTCAAATTTACTTTTCCTAGATTTAAAAAATTAACAAATAACCCTGGCAACTATGTAATTATTTCAATTGTCAGAGTGAGTTGGTGTGGGCATGTGCATTGATACCCTGCTAAACTACGAGATTTATGTCTAATGAATAATCCCAACATTGTCATAACCCAAAAAAGTTCTACCTTCAGTTTTCGGTCATTTTAACCCTGATGAACTAGTTTTAGATTATAACCACACTGTACAACTTCAAGGTAGACTAAATTTGAGCCCAAATCCATCTTTATAGAACCAATTGTTTCAAAAATACTGGTTTTCAAAATTGAATTGAATTTTTTGCCTTATGTTCTGCGGGATTTCGATTTTGTAGGCCTATTTTATTCGGGACATGCCTTCTCTCCCATATTCATATGGATGCTGAAGAGGTCTAAGGGAACCTAAAGATGAATTATCATTTTCATATTTCTCATTACTATACTCTGTTTTTAAACTAGGAGGAGCGAATTTAAATGACCCATTTACACAGGGAAAAGTAACTGGATTCCTTACTAAGAGCGTGTTCCAAAATATAGTAGTGTTCAAAATCTATGAAAGTTTTTATTATCGGCCCTAGTTGGCGAACAGCCAATGAGGAGTTAAGAGCGAATAAATCTCATAGGAGTCGATTTTTTATTGGTCCCAAGCAATGGTAGTATCTAAAACGAACTGTCAAATGAAATTCAATATAGCCGTTGATTTCTTTTTGAGAATAACTATCATCTTTTTAAAATGGAAATTGAATATTTAAGAAAATTTTTATCGGAATATCCAGACGCAGGTTACTATAAAATATAAAAATATGGTCTGTTTACATTTTCAAGGATATATTTGTTATAGGTATAAACTTAAGTAAAAGTTAAATATTGGCTTGGACCCCTTTACCATATAATGCTCTTTATTCTCAGTAAATCCCAACACAGTGACTGGAATTTCTCCTATGAGTAATATAGCTATTGTAGCTTATTTAGTGTTAACCCAGAGTTGATATGCTAAAGAGTAAATGAAGGCATTTAAAAGCTTACAGGCTATTGTGAGTCAGGATTTATTTTGAAAATTGGAACCATCATTTTCATAACACTACATGTCAACATTATTTTAAAAACTGTTTAATAATATTGTAGTTTCTTTTACCTCTATTTGTATTTTTATATTTTTTAATTTAAAGTTATACTTATTAATTTTAAGTAGATATTTTTGTTATGTTTGATTATTTGTTGTAGAAATATTGTTAGCTCATTATGCTAAATTAAGATTCTCTAATGTAGTAGTAGATGGTGTTTTAAATGCTAAATCTGTTTTGTAAATGATTTATTTTCTAATAAAGTTTACTTGAATATTTAGTTACATTTTAATCATTTGGTAAGAAATTCATCAATTTTTAAAAATTCAGCAATAAAGTTGTTAGTTATTTTTTTCTAAAATACTTCGGAATCCATCTCTTCATGGTAATCTTTGCCTTCAAAAATCAATAATGAATCTACAAAACCTTCTTAATAACCAGCATGTAAAAGAATAAGGCGTCTTCCCTTTCTTGTAGGGCTTTTCAGGAACTGCTACCGGTATAGATGGACCCATAATCGTAGAAATTCAGAACAATTGCTTACTTAAGCTCTGAAAACGACTGTTATTAACGAAAAAAGAGTAAAAAACTAAGTAATAATGTTGAGATATCAAAGGGGTGAAATAAATAACAAAACTAAAAATTTGAAATGTCAGAACTGTCAGTAATTGCATTAGCTGGAGTGCGTTTAGAAACCTTACACGACGCGTCTGACCACATGCATTAGAATAGGGTCCAGATGCGCCGTGCGTGGTTTCTAAACGCACTCCAGCGATGTTAATGATAAAAAGTGATATGTGAAACTGACTGCAATCTGACCAATCAGAAGTCTACAGAATTGCCAACTTAAATTCAAATCACTCCTTAGTTTAAAAACAGAGTATAGACCTGTTATTTCTGTCACATTATCAAAGCCTGGTCTGAACATTGTCTGACCATAAACCCCTTCCTTTCCAAGGAAAGCCTGCGGTGCTAATGATATTTAGGGACATGATCAAATATTTTAAAAACAAGTTGTCAGTTATCTTAAGTGACCTAATAAATATCTTTAATTAACCACTTACTACTGTTATCTGTTTTGGAAGACCATGGAATTGCAGGAAATGCATTGTCTTTTCAGAGATTATTTTAATGGTCACACACAATTTGTAAGTAATGGAAATATTTCAAGTAAAATGGTTGATCTCCTATATGGTGTACCCTAGGAATCAATTTTTGGACCAACGTTATTCCTGATTTATATAAACTCCATAGCTCAGTTACCATTATCTAGTTATCTGCAACTATATGCTGATGACTCATGCTTCATCTATTTTGCAAAATATCCAGAGGAAATAAATAATATTATGGAGGAAGATCTAAATCAAATTCTTTAATGGTTAAAATTTCATAAATGCATATTGAATACTAAAAAGTCAATTTTTTTAGTGAAATCAAAAAAGCCTGAATGGAACCAATTTTAAATAAATATAGACAAGAACAGTTAACTAGGGCAGAATGCATTAAATCTCTTGGCTTGTATATAGGTTCCAAGCTCAACTGAAATCATCATATTAGTCAATTGGGTAAAAAAGTTAATCCTGTCATTGGAGTTTTGGGACGGTTGTCTACTATCTTTCAGCTGACTTAAGAAACACTCAATCATATTTAACTCTAATTTGGAGCAGAACTCCCCAAAATACACTAAAACCCTTGCAAATTCTACAGAATAAGGCTTGCATTTTGTTATCCTATTGATCTTTTGTATCATCAACCAAATAATATTCTATACCTTCAGTTGCTCTCTAAATATTAGACATGCATCTTTATTCATAACCTGTCTGAATAATATACACTTGTCCATACTATGAAGACTAGAGAGAAGGAGGAGAATCGGCAATGGTCAAATTTCAAATTTCCTTCTTTTTATAAAGTTCGCGAAATTGACTGTAGTTGGCATGTCAAATGACAGCGGTGTCAATTTTTTATGTAAGTCAATGTAAAATTAAGTGATTTTTTAAAAAATTGGTGAAAAGAATCAAAATAATGTGAAAAAAAGTACCTGAGTACAAGTAACATGAGTGACAAAAAACATCAGAGCTAGATTTACGTTGTTCCAGATTGTAAAACAGGATAAACATAAAATGTAAAACTAAAGAAAACACAAGAAGTAATCAATGCAATGTCTTTTTTAAGCTTTTAATGTAAGTAAAATAATGTATTCATGTCTAAATATAATATTTATTGTAAACTAGTCACAATATGTATCTTACGAAGTGTAGTTTATTTTATTACAAGTTTCTATAATATACAATTTTACAGTCATAGATGCTGACTTACAAACAACAATTATGCATTAAATTTAACTTACTAGAAAAGAAAATTCATTTTTTATAGAGTTTTAATTTTAGATAAAGAGTTGCTACTGTTATTTTTTTTAGACCCCAATTGTGTCATTGTAAATGTTTTCTTATAGGATACTAAACGTTTAGAACAGTGGCAGCATATATATCGTTCTTAGTGCCGATAAAGCACTTTCTAGAGATGATGCTGTTCTATACCTTTTAGAAGATATCAAATATGAGACTATTTTTATTGATGATACTGTTAGCAAAATAAAAAGGGGAAAGCTGAAATTAAAGGATGAGGTAATACCATGTACATTCCCAAATCTCCCTTTATATTTGTATTACAACAATAACAAATCTGTTAACTGTATTTTATTTTACTCTTAAAACTATATATTGGTTCAATTCAAAACAAATTTTGCATTTGCATTTAAGAAACCTTTTCGAATTTGGTCATACATACCTAATTTGTATTTTATATAGATAAAATTAAATACTTTACCAATTAAAACATGCAAGACTTATTTAAAAATAAATACAACAGTATGTTTTGTGCTTTATTTAGCTATAAACAAGTTTATTTTTATTAATTTGACAAAATTATGTATAATTCTCATAAGAAGCCACGTATTTTGAACACCTTATGCAGTACCAGCGCTGATGCGGTTAATTAAAGAAGCTCAATTAGCATGCGTTTTTTGGGACCGTATTTTGAGTATGCCGATTCGCCTCCTTATCTCTTCATAGTCCATACAACTGACTATTGCCAATGATATCCATAGATATAATACGAGGAACAACCTCTGCTACAGAACCACAGCCGTAAGAACATGCTTAGGTGACCAAAGCATACTATCAGATGGTCTACAATACAATTATCTTCCAAGCATCATAAAGAACATAAGGACTGCTGCACACTTTAAAACACAAATAAAATGTTCTTAAACTCTTCTTGGTTGACATTTTCAAGTTTAAATAGTGTGATTTTAGATAATAAATTAATGTATTTGTATTAATTTTGTGTAGTATTAGTATTATAACTAAGTACCTAATGCTTCTTCAGTGACATCATAAAATTTGATAATTGTAAGACTCACATAGTCTTGATCTCTGGGTCTTGATATGTCGTTTTGTATTTATTTATTAATAAATTAATGGAACTTTAAGAAGCTGCAGTTGCAATGGCTGCACACTAAAAGACACTTCAGCTCTGTCTCCCTGTGATAGATAGGGGTCAGTTACTTAACCTGCAGTTGTCTATAAACCAAACAATAACGATGACTCGATGCCCCTTCCAGGCAGGTGGCTATTATAATGTAGTTCTATTACTGAATAGGCCTACAAGGTCGGTTACTAAACTAATATAAAATCCTCTATTTGCCTCTTCTTATCTACTTTATTCGACATCTTTCACATTCAAATTGTCACAACAAAATATTGCTAAAAAAATTGTATTTATGAAATTATTTGGTCAGAGACAGTTCTAATCTTAAATGGTAGCAAATGTAGTCTACTTCGAATTCGTATAGCGTAGTTATAGTCAAAAACTAGTTCTGCAGGGTTAAAATGGCCAAAAATTGAAAAAATGTAGAAAATTCTTGTTTTTTTTTTTTTTTTTTTTTTTTTTTTTTGATTTTTTACATTAAGTTCGGCGCTCAAGGTTTAAAACTTGGATTATTCATTGGGCCAACATCATTAACAACTCGGCATAAAATCAGAACTACCAGATTTGAAGTCCTTCTTTTAGGCGACAAGGCTACTGAACTACAATTATTTGTTAGGATTTATATTTTAGTAAAATATTTCATGTGATAATTTAATTCTCTATTTTTCTTACTTACAGGTTGTGTTGCCAGAATAACTGATAATATTATAAACAACTTCAAATTCAAACTTATGCAATCGTATTTTGATGATAATTTCAATGCCCATCTTGCAAAATCGGTTGCCCTAGAGTGTCTTAGGTATGTAACTAAAATAACAAGTATTTAACTTTTTTTGGACTACCTACCCCAAAATTAAATGATGCCTATTTTCTCCTAGAACTTGTAACACTTTTATAACTTGATAGAATCATTTTAAAGAGAATATTGAAGAAAGAAAACATGTGACAAATGAAGAAAACTGCAAGAAATTAGAAGAAAGAATAAAGAAGAGAAGAATAAAGAAGAGAAGAATAAAGAAGAGAAGAATAAAGAAGAGAAGAATAGAGAAAAAAGAAGATTGAAGAAATAAATAGAACATAATAATTAAATTTAAAGTCATTCAATTTCCTTTTAATTATATCATATATTTAATATTTTATTTGATCAAATTCAATATTTTTCTCAAATTTGGCAATAATAGATATATGTATTAAAGTCAAAATTCAAGACAGAAACAAGAAGAGTGAAGAAACAAGACAGAAAATTAAGGGATTAGGTAAAATGAAGACAGAAGAACCTCAAAATAAAATTGTTTTATCTTTTTCTTATTCATATTTTCTACCAATTTGAAAAATTTGCAACCATTAATAGTTTATTTTTCTATGAATTTTGTAGAAGAGTGAAATCCAGACGGAGATGCGTTAGAGAAATTCCAATTTTTGCAGATACAGTCAGAAATTTTATCTTCTTTTTACATGAATACAACATGAAGGTTTTTAAGGTAAGTTTGTCTTACTATTTTACTTGATATTAAGTTCCTGCATGACAATAATCCAAAAATGCACTTGACTAAATTTTAATATCTACTTTTATTATGAGAGAGGTTCAAAAAATACAAAAATTGCTTGAGACCCCTTATATTTAAAAATGTTTATTTAAAAAAAAAAATTTTAAGTGTTTCCTGAGAAATACAGATTTACCCTTTACCTACAGGTACATATTTTTTCTTTCAATAAAAATTAAATATTTGTACTTAATACCAAAAGTTTGTCCTTAAAAAATATCTTTCTCTCTCTCTCGAACTTAACAACAACACCAGCAGTATAACTTGCTACATCATCTGCAAAACCTATTAAATCTAGACACTGAAAGAGCTGTAGATAAGTAGATTATTTGGACTGTCAAATCATATACTGGTTTCTGATATCTATTACAAATTTATTAAAGTTACCTTATCTGGAAACCAGAAACATAGATGTTACTTTTTAATATTGTTATGTCTGTATTTCAGTCTTCGAATTCCTATCCGTTCTCTCACGAATTCTCCGAACTATTGCACCAATACGTCCTGCTGGAGTGCCAGATACTGTACAAAAGATCGTATTTTTCCAAAGAACGAGAAATCCAAGCTCACGACAGGACATTACGATTGTTGCTTAATATATTTAATGACTATTTCAAATCCAAAATGACGCCCAGGAAGGAGGTCATCGAGAAGTCTGCCAAAGCGATTTTCGACATCTTTATAGAACTCAATTTGAATTATCCGAATGCTAATAAATTTAGGCTATTGGAAAGGATGACAGGGTAAGTCATATGCAGATTCATCCAACTAATGACTAATTTCCACTTACCCACAAGTATCATTGCAAAAATTTTGCTTTTGGTATTTTTTAGAACAATAAAAAAAACTTTTCCAATTTATATTATAGACACATCAACAAGGTATTTTGTTAAAACGTCCTACTATTACTGTATCAAGCATAAAACTATTTTTGAGTAATGTGTTAAGTTTATTTATTTATTTATTTATTGAAATTAGATCACTCGGACTCATTTTCAATTATAATTAAACACTATAATTCAATTAAACTCATTTTATTGTCATAATACAACCGACGATTGCCGCTTATGGCTAACTTCTTAAGGTCTATCCACATTAGCCAGACAAGGCACGGTCAAGTCACGGTCCGGACACGATCAAATCTTTTTTAAAGGATTCTCACTATCGGGTCATGTCATCGTCATATTTGATAAGTTTTTCCAATGTATAGCAGGCAATCGTGCATGAGTGTTTTTATCAGAGTATTTTTGCTTGTGACATCGCGACCCGCGATCTTAAAAATGTTTTAAACTTCATTAATTAAAATCGCACTTATTTTGAATGCGGAAGAACAGCACAAAAATATAAATAGACCAGAGCATACTGGCGCATTCGTTTCCAAAATTGTTTTAATTCGTATTTTTTTTAAATGTCCGGAAGGCTTTCCTGATTATAAAAGTGTAAGATGACACTCTATATCTGTTGATGTTATTGTTTAAACGAAAAATTAATTAAGACAGAAAAAATGCATTTTTTGCAATGAATTAATTTTTTATATTCTTTAGGATATTTCGAATAAAAAAGTCCTTACGCCCATCATCGTATCTTCTCGTATCTTCAGCCCTTTAATTGTTATGAATTTTTTAAAATCCAAAATTGACGAAAATTCTAATTTTCTTGAATTATATAATATACCTTAAAATTTAAAATGCTAAATTTTAAATTTTTTACCGAATATTCAAACTATAATAAACAAAATTACCTTAATAAATTTTCAAAATTTTGTGTTGTTATATTTCTTTTTACATTATAACAATATGCTTCCTACGCGCGTGTACTTTTAGAGAAAAGTACTTCTATCTCACTTCCAACCCAATGTATAAGATGGGTAAGAGAAAGCCCGATGACGCGCTAAATCAATTTTTTGATGTTTTTCAGCGGTAATAAGTTTAAAAAAATTATTAACATTTTTCATAACACTTTGTTATATTTGCCGATTAATAGTTTTGTATCCTGTGATTTTTTTTTACTTTTTAGATACTTTCGATAACTTTTTTATTCATTGAAGTTAATAGAAATGTTGCATCCACAAAAACAAAAAATCATTGCCAAGAGCTGTCTAAAAATACATTTTTCTCACTTTTTTCCAATAAGATAAAAGAAGACAAACATACCTGCCGTAATTCAAGGGAAATTTCTACCTGTTACGATGAGCATCGTTGACTCACCTGGTTTTTATTTTAAGAGTACGCAATTTATATGTATTCAATTTTTTCTATGGTTGTTAATTCTTTTCCACTATGATTATTTAATAGTAATATTCATTTATTAAGAAAATGTTTACATAAAATTATAGTTTGTACATCTAACTAGTTTTTACATGAATTATGTCGACTCCTATACATGGCCCTTATGGAAGAATGCGGACATTGTAAAACTCTTTGTTCTGATATATTCATTTTTATCTTATTTTGCATTTTTTATTGTTAGACGTTTTTATTTTCTTTTAGAGTGGTCAGTCAGTTGCTAGATTCCATATTGTTAAGTTGTAATTAAAAGTATAATTGTTGTATTAAGTAATAAAAGTATTTTTTTTTAAAAACGAACTCTGAGTTAGTAGGAGTTAATTGGCGCAGTCAGTAGGATATCGGGATTGATTTGTATCGAACATATCGATTTTCGTTTCTACGATTTACCGTATATCGAACTTAAGTGACTTTCGTTTGTGACATTGTTCCGGAGTGGCTCCTTGAACTTCAGGAAACCCAGTCTATCGCAGACCCGACAAGAATAGTGGATCCAAAGCGGAAGAGAGAATTGAAACCCAAATAGTTCAATTCTGCAGAGATATTTTCTGGGAACGACAAAAATTGCTGACCTGGATTTATTTCTATAGAGGGATGCTCAAAGTTATATTTTTATTGTAAGTACATTTCACATGTCCGTAATTGACGATTTGTCAAATATTCTTTCTAATTTATATTTAGACCCTTCAACTGACTCGAATCTCGAAAATAATTTAGAAATAATAATGCCTGATTTTAAACCAGAATACTTAACTTGTGTACCCAACTTTGACGGTAACCCGAATGAATTAAATAGATATTTATCCGTATGCTCATCTTTGATTGATAATTTTTATAATATTGCTCAGCCAAATTGTTTTCAAAATGTTTATCTGTTAAATTGTTTAATTTCAAAATTAAGTGGCAATGCCAAATTAGTAGTAAATATACAAAATGTTTCAACTTGGAACGATTTAAAATCAGTATTAACTAGAAACTTTGCAGATCAGAGAGATGAATCTTGTTTAAATAGGGATCTTGTTATGATGAAACAAGGAGCTACTGAAAAACCACAACAATTTTATGATAGAGTTTTAAACATCCTAAATCTTTTGTGCAGTTATGTTGATGCTCACGAACACATCCTTGCATCTAAAGCATTAAAACGCGATTTATATAACGATTTAGCTTTAAATACCTTTTTAACTGGTTTAAGGGAACCTTTAGGGACAACAATTAGATGTATGAAACCTACTTCATTAAGTGAAGCTTTGCAATATGTTCTAAAAGAAGACAATGTTCATTATTACCAAAATTTCGGCAATAAAAATAATTTAAATAATGTACGAATTCAACAAAATAGACCATCTGTTTCACCACAAATTCAAAGACAAAATTTTAACCCTAATTTAGCATCTTTTAATTCAAATACGTCGAATAACTTTTCCAACAGACAAATTGCTTTTCCGTCGCAACCTGTCCCAATTCAATCCCAACAACCAAGGCAACCGCAAAGATTTTTCACTAACGCACAAGTTTTTGGAAAACCTCAGCAAAATCAAAATGTTTTTAAACCTAATAGAAACGTAAATTTACCAAATCCAACGCCCATGAGTGTTTCTACTAGAAATACAAGTAGTAACTATAAAACAACACCTATGAGTGTCTCAACGCGTAATTTTGCACCAAATTCATCCAGAAACTATTTTCAAAATAATTCTTATCCTCAAAATAAATTTAATTCGGAGAAATTATTCAATGCTGAAGTTGACGAACAAAATTATTTACCGTTTGAAGAAAACCAATTTCCCGGAAACAACTGTTCACAAGGTGATTTTTCCGAAAATAATTTTAAAGGTGTATCTGTCGAAAACGACGAAATAAATTTTCAATTAACGCCTCAAAATCAGCAAGAAAGGTAACGCCAAAACTTATATCCTTAAATTTAAATAGCTCAAGTGAATTATGTTATGTTGTATTTCCTGAACATAATCTAAAAATTTTAATCGATTCAGGCTCTACTAAATCTTTTATAGATCCTGAAATTGCTTATAAATATTTTTCCAAAACTATACAAAATGATCCATTTGTTGTTAAATCAGTTTTCCAAGAATCAACTCATAAATATAGTACTTTAATTCCCGCTTCAAATATTTTTTACTTACCAAATAATTTAAATTTAAAATTTTATCTTTTTAAATTCCATAACATATTTAATGGTTTAATTGGTTTAGACAACTTAAAATTATTAGAAGCAATAGTAGATTTTTCTAATGGATATTTAGTTACACCTTACGCTAGAATAGAATTAAAATATTACCGAATTAAAGGTGATCTTAATTTAATAACAGTAACACCTCGCTCTGAACAAGTTATAAAAATAAAAACTAGTATTAAAAATGGTGAAATTGTTATACCGTATCAAAAATTTCCTAATTGCGAAATACCCCAATCTTTATCGCAAAAAATGGTGAAGCCATTACAACAGTTCTTAATATTAGTACAAACCCGGTAACATTAGATCTATCAGAACCGATTATTGTTGAAAAATTCGATAAAGTTCCGATAGAGAAATTTGAACTTAATAACTTCGACGATACTTTTTCTACTAATTTAGATTTTAATAAAATTCGAACCGATCATTTAAATGACGAAGAAAAAAATAAAATATTAAAACTCTGTTCAGAATATTCTGATATTTTTTATAGGGAAGACACGCCACTGACCTTCACTAATAAAGTTAAACACGAAATTCGTACAACAGACGAAGTTCCAGTTTATGCTAAAACATATCGCTATCCGTATATATATAAACAAGAAGTTGAAAATCAAATTAATAAAATGTTAGACCATAAAATAATTCGCCCAAGCTCAAGCGCCTGGAACGCCCCACTTTGGGTAATTCCAAAAAAATCTGATGCATCTGGTAAAGCTAAATTTCGTATCGTTGTAGATTATAGACGTCTCAACGAAAAAACAATCGATGACAAGTACCCTTTGCCTAACATTACAGATTTGTTGGACAAATTGGGTAAGTGTCAATATTTTTCGACGCTAGACTTAGCGTCAGGGTTCCATCAATTGGAAATGACGGAAAAAGATATAGAAAAAACGGCATTTAGCACTGAAAATGGACACTGGGAGTATTTAAGGATGCCATTTGGCCTTAAAAATGCCCCAGCGACATTTCAAAGAGCAATGGACGGAATCCTCAGGGGCATACAAAACGAAAAGTGTCTTGTATACCTTGATGATATCATTGTTTTCTCAACATCGCTCCAAGAGCACCTTGAGAGGCTTAAAAGTGTGTTTGATCGTTTAAGAGAAGCCAACGTTAAAGTACAGTTGGATAAATCTGAGTTTTTACGAAAGGAAGTAGCTTATTTGGGTCATATAGTGACTCCAGCAGGTGTTAAACCTAACCCAGACAAGATAAAGGCGATAAAAAACTACCCCATACCAAAAACCACAAAACAAAT